TGAAGAAGTGAGTGTTCCGAATATTGCTGATTCTTTTTAATTATTTCTTGTCGGATTGTTTTACTAAGCTTTTGATGACATTTCTCAGCTATTTGTTTGAACTCTTAATTTTTGAGGGTATTTTTTAATTCTTTCATTTCATTGATATTCAAAAATTTTGTCCTGTGCTATTTTCTTTTTTAATTCTTTCATTTCAGTGATGTTCGGAAATTTGGTCTGGTTCTATTTCTTGTCTGCGCTGCTTTCGCATTGATGATTCTTAACTAGATGTTTATCCTATGTAAAAATATAGCAATGAAAGCTCCCGATTGCAGATCACCGGACTCTAATGGAGATTTCAATGAGAAATTACTGATTGACAGTATTCGTCTGCTGGAAAATTCTCTTACCGATCAAATTCTGCGGATGCTGAAGGTAAGGTCCTCTCAGCAGAACATTGTCCACAATGTCCATCAGAACCCTTTGATTAAGTCGTAAAACAGACATAGGATCACTCCTCAACCGGATTTCTGTTCAACTCTGTTTAGTTGTGCGTTCGAGGCTTAGGAGAGCTGTCAGAGTGCTCATCACAGGCTATCTCTGAGCGATTTGCGAGCATTGCAGTTGAAGCTGCAATGGGAGGCCTCGATGACATTGGAGATAAAAACGACTTGGTAATTTGTTTATCATTCACCAATTTTTAAAGTTGTATTTCATGGAAGCAGCGATTCAGGTAGCAATGGAGTCAATAGTCGCACTGAATAAACTTGTATCACGAACCAATTATGCACAACTACATTCAATTCCTCGTCAGGTTCTTTTGAAGATTCGTCTTTGCTTCGAAAAAGTGATCCATTCCCTGTTTGAAATCAATTCATCGAAAGATCTTGTTCATAGCTGTCATTAGAGGCGGATACCTTGGGCTGTTCTCATTGTTCAGGCTGTATTTTTAGGAGTCAGCCGCATTACGAGCAGCATCGTTTAGTCTTTTTGGCGAACTGGCGGCACGGAATGGTGGAGAAAATGAAGAGTTTACGCCACATCTTCATGCGAATATCGTCGCTCTTCTTCTGCATCTTAACGATGAAGACGAAGAAGTGCGAAAAGTGTGTGAAAAAAGCTAGCTTTCGAATTTCACAATCACATTATGCTGCTGTATGTTTTTAATGATTCAGGCATGTAGTAGAACGCTGAACCAAGTGCACCCGTTACTCAATGTAGGAACGTTTTCGTCGCTTATTCAAAGAGAAATGAAGGATGGCAGATTACCAGCCAGTTATGCGGCCGTGCAAAGGGATCTCGCTAGTATTTTGGTCAGTTTATAAATCAGCTTGCGGTTACCACTCATTTGTTCAGAGATCCCGATCAATCAGCTTTCATTTCGAAGGCTTTAAGTTGCTTTTCACAACTCTACACCTTAAGTTCACCATTTCCATTGCTAATTCTGCTGTGGACCATTTCTTCAGCTCAATGTTCAGGCTTTATCCTTTCCTGATCGAGTGAATCAATACGCGTTAACATGCAGTAACTACTTCAAAAGCTCGTAGGGCGAATGCAGCGCTTCTGACCGGTCATATGCTGGGCGTTTTGACTCCACAACTTCGTGCCATTATCAGCAAAGATCTTGTATTTTCTAGTCAGTTTTTTTCATTTTTTTCACCCTTTTCCGGTTTTTGATCATTTTCTACGTCCAATTACGATTCAAAACTGTAGTCGGATATTTCGCAGTAGTTTTAACACAATATAACCCTTCAGGTCTCGTTTTGCTTCTGAGGGATCCAGAAGATGTGAGTGTGCGAATCGCTGCAGCTAAAGCTGTTGGAAGCCTCCACGACTTTGCCTAGAAGGCTAATCGAAAGCTTGCTGAACAAGCAATGAGGTGAGCATTTCAGCGACATTCCAATCTTTGTGACTTGTGCTTCTTTTGCCAAACGATTCCCAGTATCAGAATTGCCGTGCCCTGTGGGAGATCGCATACCCGATGGTGATCGTATGAGAGGAAGGCGCATTGCCTACCCGACTGAAAAGTTGAGGCGCAGCAGCTGTTCCACCCCATCTATCACTGAGTCCATTTGGCGAAACGGAGTTGCAAGGGTAGTATATTCATATCTTGCATTTTCTTCATTTTTATTTTTAACTAGTCATTGACTAATTGATATATCATGACACATCTGTCCGTGTTCTACTCTCGTTGTTTAGCTTTATCGAACGTTTCGCTTCTTGTTTGCTTGTAGTGGCTTCTGGTTCCAAAACACTTTTGTGGAGTATCGGCATCCTCACTAAGTCGATTTGAGCGGTTAATAACTACTGATGATTTTTTTTTAAATTGCATAGAACCGTACAAATTCCATAGGCTTCTAATTTTGAGCATTATAATTTGGTCATTGCAAAGTGAGCGGGGTTATTCACTAGAAGAAAGCTTTTCGGTAGAATTAGTCCCAATAAGTACTAATGTCCCATAAAAACACTCCTTATATTTATTTGATTTCCAAAATCCAAAGACATATGATGCAAAGGTTCTTAAGATTTCAGGCTGACTTTTAAGTCTTGTTATGGCACTACAGTCCCGAATTTAGCTATGTCCATTTTTCGGTTAAGGTGTAAATACCGTACAAACCGTCTAGTCTTTCCTATAGCCCTCCTATTATTGATAATCAACAAAGAGTGGTTAGAAGATCAAGGGTAGGACATGCCGTCCCTATTGATGAGAAAAAATTTGGCAATCGCGCTCGACACAAAAAAGTAGGGCCCTACATGAACAAAAAACTAGCACTCGTGATAATCGTCTCGAAGCACCTAATCATACCCAAAACTGAGTTTGAATAGAATTGTGCTTAATTGCTCTGAAATCGCTCTAATGCTTTGGATGCCGTGTCCACTATCCATTTTCAGCCACTTCTATTACTTCTTCAGCATTGGTGAAGTCCAACTTGAGCAAATGGATTGTTTTTACCATTTTTTTTTTGAAAATGCATCCAAAGTTCCAGAAATTCTGTCTTGCACATGATTGTAGGATACATTTCGACTAGGCTAAGTTGTGTGAGGTGAATTGTGTAGCTGCCAACAGCCGGTGTCTAGCGCTTGATGGAAAGGAAAGGCAAGATTACTAAAAGTTATCGGCTGTCAGCTATTCACGCCTGCCTTACACAGCGGAGAAGATATACCATATACCATATACCGGAATACCAGTATATGGTTAGTTGGCACATTCTATTTGACTTGGCAAATTTTAGTACAGTTCCCAGTGGAAAAATCCTGTTCAGACGATTAATGTTCCATAGATTCCGTTGCTGTTCTGTGATCGAGGCACATAAACTTTTCCTTATTAGCCAAAATTATACAGTCCACCAGATTTGTGATTAAATGTTGTTTTTCGTTGGCTTTCTTCACTGTAATGTTGATTTTCGATGTGATTAATGTTATTGTAAGGCTCGCAATATCTTAGCCGTTTTCTTCTGTGTTTAATTAATGAACCTGCTAAATAACCCTTTGTCATCTTTTTTTCATAATGTTTTTGTGTCGGGGAGCATTGTATTTGAAACGAAAGGTCGAGGTCCAGGGTTAATCGGCAAAATCACAAAAGTTCTTCGTATCGATTTCTTTACATTTAGTGCCAGATGCGATCTAGATGTCTGTAAATTGATTCTTAAAAACTATGCGTCCTAAAAAGAAATGCTAACTGTAAAGTTTCGAACAAGTTTCCTTATGTACCAGAGCACTATAGCATTGAATTAGAGCCAAGGCAAAGTTATTGAGTGTATTTAAGCCAACAAGTGTCAGGACGGAATCCTAATGGCGTGGACAAGCAAGCCACCTTCGCTTTAATGACACTAATTTGAAAATATGATTACGGTGATGACGAGATAATAGATTGGAGCGCATTACTGCTTTAGACTTCAACGGCCCATCGATTGATCGACCGCATCGCGGCACTAGTGACTGATCATGTGCTGACAACGCTGGACAGACTGCGATCAAGGCCGCATGTGGCTGCTTTCAGAGTTCGACGACCGTCCATCACGTGCGTGCGTGCGAGCGACGCCGGCGCTAGCCGCTTGTTGACAACACTAGCACGTGATTCATCGGCGTCTAGCGTTGTC